TCAGCCCATGGAGGTGGGGGGTGGGTAGGTCATTTTCACCCTGCATGTGTGGTGAAGGTCATCTTCCTCTACCCCACGGACCTCAGTGGGAAGGTGTTTGTGTTCCCTCGAGAATCTTCTATTGCCTGTGTGACCTTGACCCCAAAGCTGGAGGACCCTCTGAAGAACTCCACCTTGTGCTTCTGAGCCTAAGGTGACCTGCTCCGTACCCACAGCCTCTCCTACAACGCCCGGGCAAGGACAGTGGGCTCCTGGTCTTCAAGGACAAAGTTGGGAGTTACTCCCTGTACATCGGAAGAACCAAAGCCACCTTCAAAGTGACCGAGACGGCCCCCAGCCCCGTGCACATCTGTACCAGCTGGGAGCCCTCCACTGGCATCACCGAGTTTTGGGTCAATGGGAAGCCGCTGGTGAAAAAGGGTCTGAAGCAGGGTTACACGGTAGGAGATCACCCCAAGATGGTCCTGGATGCCTACGGACGGGGGTTTCAGAAGGCCCAGTCCTTGGTGGGGGAGATCGGGGACTCTGTGCCGTCCCCAGAGCAGATCCTACTGGTGCAACAGAGCTCCCACCTGAATCCCAACATCCTGGGCTGGTGTGTGCTGGCCGATGAGCTGAAAGGGCACGTCGTCATCAAGCCCCTGGTGTGGAGCTGAGCCCGACTCAACAAGAGCACTCGAACACGACCCAGGCACGAGGAACCCGCTCAAGGCTGCCGCCCACGAGATCCCACGACCTGTGGCTCTTGCCTTTTTCAATTTCCCCGTCTGCACGCTGCCGAGAAAAACAAGTATGTTGCATTGTGCCGCCTGCTTCCGGGGGGTACTTGTTGCAATCTCCAGCCCTCTCTGATCCGCTTGTTTGGAAGTCAGTGCGTTCTTCTGGAGCACAAGCAGGGTGCAGAGTGGGGGGAGGGGCAGCTGTGACTACAAGGATGGGTCACCACACCCGCCCGAGGCTCAGGGAACGGCACAGGGGCGATCCTCACCAGCTCCGCGTCGTTCTGTTAGCTCCAGATGTGTGCAAAATTCCGCCAGGAACCCAGTTTGGTTTTCCAGCAAATGCAAGAGAGATCAGAGATGCAAACGAGGTCGGAGGTCACATCAGAGAAACAACTCGAGTAAGTAAAAGCAATGCGGAACCTGACCTCAAGTAATGAGGAAAACTGGCAGGCAGGCATGAAAACTCAAAACGTAGGAAAGTCTGGCATTCCTTGCACAAGAAGATAAACGCAGCTTTTTTTCTAAAAAAAAAAACAAAAACAAAAACAAAAAAAAACCCAAAAAACCAAAAACAACAAAGCCCATACACTACCAGCGTATCATGCTGGATTTTTCCTCCGTTCCTCAAGTCACCAAGGATACTGCTTGGGACCTCCCAGTTCAAAGTCCTACGGATCTCCATCTTAAACCCTTTGACGTGACATTGCCCCTCCATCACTTGATCCCCTCAGGCACCACTCTCAGCACCTAGCGTTCTAACTACAATACTCCAGAATATTTGTCGGATTTTATTAGGAGTTACCGTCATTATAGAAGCCACCAGGCACGCACCCCCCGCAGAAATGAAGGGCCTTCTTAGAGAAGGACCCCAAAGAGAATGAGGCTGTGTGTGAAAAATAAGGCAGGCTTTGCCCACGGATAACGGGGCGTCAGGCCGAGGGAAATCAGAAAAGACCACATCCAGGAGAGCTTCCGAATGACAGCAGTGATGACTTCAAACTCACTCACCCAGGATCCACAACGAGGCAGGCGCCAGATCCGAGGAAGGAAGACGGAACCCGTGAGCCCCATTCACGGGGCAAGAGGGTCGGGCAGACAGGAGCGGGTAGAAGCCACGGTTTGCTGGGGTGCTTGCGTGGAGTCACGGGGACTTCACAAGCACATTTCAACCTGCTCTCTGGTGAGAAGGAATTGCAACGTGGAAACATTAGTTTCCATTGGCTAGCCCTTAACTCAAGGCTTGCTGTAGAGTTGAAGGTTGACCACCCTTCCTGTCCTGTGAGCTCTGTACCTTTACTCCGTGTCCTAGCAAGACAGGTCTCTTCCTGTAGAGTACGTATCTCCACCAGGAGCACAGACACACGTTTGCCTAGACGTTGTGTTGTCCGCCATTGCTAGTTCTTTGAGAGACAGACAGACAGACACGGAGGGCAGAGACGATCCCAAGCTAACTCCACACTATCAGCACGGAGCCCGATGTGGGGCTTGAACCCACAAACCGTGAGATCATGACCTGAGCTGAAACCAAAAGTCAGACGCTTAACTGACTCAGCGCCACCCCCCCAGGTGCCCCCTGCCGGTTCTTAATAGTAGACACTTCTAGCTTAACAGCCCCCTCTGTCAAGGAACCTAAAACAAGTTTCAAGAAACGAAGCCAGCGTACTTTCCAGTAGCATCATCCGTTTCTTTCTTGAGCACCTACTCTGTCCCAGACACTATGCCAGGTGAAAACACAGCACGGAGTGAAACCATCATGGGACTGGCTTTGGAGTTTATATTCTAACAAGTCTGGGTCAATACTTTCTATGCTGTAATCCATACCTCACCGTCGTCAGGCTTTCCTCGATCTCAGGTTGATATCCTAACTCCCCCTCTCAACTCTGAGTTACATGGATTATTTTACTCTCAGGGATCGTTTGCCACTTCTCCCATGGCCAGATCTAATGCCTGTCCGGTTTCTTGCCTTTGGAGACCTTCTACCTCCTGAGATGGCTCTTATGGACAGAACACAACACAACTCCAAGCCAGCCAGCTCTTCCTTCTAGATGACCCCCACCTCCTCCCAAAGCAACTGGATCCCTTGTCCCCGTCAACTCTAGGAGGCTAGGATGAAGGGAACACAGACAACGCTTCTCTGCTTCTACGATGGCCATAGCTTGCTCAAGTCTTTGAAGTCTCCCAATAGCTTGGAGCATGTTTTAAGCTTTGAGGGACGCTGTGGAAGCAACCCCCCGCCACCACTACCAGACTTGAGGTGAAGACTAGAAATCCCAGCAACCATCCTGTCGAGGTACCAGGAACATGACCTGCTTGCTCTTTTCTCGAAGCAACAGCAGTGAAGCCACGGCTCTCCCCAGCACAGCTCCCAGCCCACGTCCATCTCTCTGCACACCTTGTTCTTGCCCAATGATACAAGAGCCACTGAACTTGTCCTGAATCATTTCCTTACACAGTCACGTAAGTGGATCCGCGTCACATTCTTGTAATTCTCTAGCATCACATCGATGGTTCCTTCCAAACTGAAGAAGAAAGAGTTCCATTTTAACACCATTTAAAGTAGAGATGGGAGGGGCGCCTGGGTGGCTCAGTAGGTTAAGCGTCTGACTTCGGCTCAGGTCATGATCTCGCCAGCCATTTGTGAGTTCGAGCCCCGTGTCGGGCTCTGGGCTGACAGCTCAGAGCCTGGAACCTGCTTCGGATTTTGTGTCTCCCTCTCCCTCTCTCTCTCTGCCCCTCCCATACTCATGCTTTGTTTCTGTCTCTCAACAATAAGTAAACATTAAATTTTTTTTTTTTAAATACAATAAAATAGAGATGGGCTCTCTGGCTGCTTGCTTGAGGCATTCTCTTCTCAGGTATAATGGTGGCCACAACAAGGAAAATGGAAGGACCCGGAAGGTAGAATAGCCCAGGAGCAGGACTGGAGAGGGTGCAAAGGTGTGCAGAGAGAGGCCTAAGCCTGCAGACGTTTCTAGGAAGAAAAGCAGTGTTTGAACCTCTGTCTTGTACAAGGGTCTGGTTCTCATTTGTGAAGCTACAGGAAAACAGGTCAGAGCACTTAGCCTCACGGCTTCGGAGAAGTCTACAAAGGACTTTTCTGGGGTGAAAATGCCTTCCTCTTACCTTCCCTCTAGGGCCCCGGCGTGCAGTCACATCCAGAGAACAATGCTGAGACGTTCTAGGTGCGCCTCGTGTTTCCTGTGCTTGACGGTAAACGGGGGTCCAAGAACGCTCAGGAACAGAAGGAAAGTGAAGCCCCACCTGAGTCACCTTTACTCCTCATCTTGACGGGGCCGAGTAGCTAACTCCTCAACTCCACTCCACCTGTGTTCCAGAACCTGCCGTCTAGGTTTTGTCTGGCTGTGGCCACTCTTTTGAGGGTCCAACACAGGAGACGCCTGGAGGTCCCACGGCACAGGTGGAGCGGTGGCAAAGTCACGTGTGGCACACGGCACACGGCCACCGCAGCCAGAAGCGACGGCACCAACGTCGCGGAGAAATTGCGCTGGGACCCACGGTCCCCGGGGGGCGAATCCAGCTGCGTCTGGGGAAGGCAAAGGCAGACAGGTGGCATGTCAGCCACTTCCCGTGGCTGCCTCGTGGGGGTCTGCGTGAGGACGCATACGGAGGACCCGCTCAGCACACGTCCTTGCATAGTACAGGTGCTCACTGTCATCAGGGGTGCTACAGAGGAGGAGAAGGACTCCAGAACCTTAAATCACCTGCCGTGACTCTCAGGCGTGTTCCTACAAATAAAAAGGACTCGCCACGCTCCCCTTCCGTCCCTGCCCCCAAACCTCATCCTTACTTACCCGAGTTGCCACCCGCCCTGAGTTTTTGCAAATAAGTCATGGCTGCCTGGTGTGCAAAGAACACGGGCAGATCCCAGACACAAGAAGGCAGGCGGTCTCCCGGGGAAGGAGGACACTCCTGTCCCAAAGAAAAGTCTCCTCTATTCAAACAGTTCACGGAATCAGATTCTTAATTCCTCCCTGGCTGGCTCCCTGGGTCTATCTTATTTGCAGTGAAAAGTAAAGGACAGGGCACAACGTCTGGCAAAAAGGCACAGTCATTTTTTTTTTTTAACTCGCCATTCTCTTCATGCACACGTTTGTGTAATTACACACAAAATGTCACGGGGCTCAGCCCGCCTTGCATGCTTCAGATTTGTTAAACCTCGACTCTGTTTCTAGGCACATTATTCTGCTTAGGAAGATTTAGGCATTGACAAGCACCTATGGGTTTTGTCCTAATTTCGTCCCCTTGCAAATGGTGTTTCTTTTACACCCTCGTTGTTTTCCTCCCTCTATTTTTCTTCCTCCTCTACTAGAAATCCTGGCTTCACGACTACAGTTTTGATGCCTGAGCACATTTCTGTATTCTTACTCTCCCGGAGGGTTTTTTATCCTTCTGGAATGTATAAATCATTTTGAAAGCTTTGTGCGCGGTACCACGCTTCCGAGATCATCTACCGGTGTGTCCCCTACACAGAAACACCCTCAGGGCTCGGCCACAGGAGGGCTCAGATTTGGGTGGGAGAAAGGCTGCTTCCACGGCTGCCTCACTTCTGGCTACGCAGGCCAGTGGGGGGGGGGGGGGGGGGGGGGGCGGGGGGGGGCCGGGCCCATCTGGTGCCAAAATCACCCTGACGGTCACCGACACACGTTCTAACTGCCCAGAGCTCATCCCAGGCAACGGGCACTGGCTGAACCCACCCACCCCCCTCCACACTGTTGGCTCCGTGATGCTCCCCGTGACCTCTTCTCCCTTCCCAAGGAGGGCAACTGGCGTCTCTTGCCCCGCGAGGTCTTCTCTGTAAGAACAGAAGACCAAGGAGGATGAACACGGGCATTCGGTCCCATGTCCCGAACTTCCCATCTCGCCCTCCGGGGCCACCCTCCCCTCCAGGGACAGCCACAGCCCTGCGTGGTCAT